CCGGAGACTCCAACTTTGGATCAAGCGACGAACCCCTTACTCTTCAAAATATAAAAACGTTTCTGTGGCGGCAAATTATAGGAATGTAATACATGATATATCTATGAATAGTAGGCATAATATAACATTAATTCAACCTTTGTTTCGGAGATTCCAACGTTGAATCAAGTAGTTAATCCGTAACTTAAAAATATAAAAATATTTTGAGGGGGAAAATTGTAAGGTAAAAGTTTAATACTAATTAATTACATATTGCAACAGACTAAACTTTATTAAATAATGAAATTATTGTTAGGATATTCACGAAATTTTAAAAAACAATTGACCAAANAGTTAATCCGTAACTTAAAAATATAAAAATATTTTGAGGGGGAAAATTGTAAGGTAAAAGTTTAATACTAATTAATTACATATTGCAACAGACTAAACTTTATTAAATAATGAAATTATTGTTAGGATATTCACGAAATTTTAAAAAACAATTGACCAAACAGTTCTTTCCTTCAACAAATGTTTACTTCATACTCTCAAAAATGTTGGTAACTGTCTTCTAAAGCAAGTAATGGTGGTATAAACTCAAATTACCGAAATTTCAATAATAAACATTTTGTGAAACGTACTGAATTAGTAGATATAGAGAATCTAGACACAAATGAGTTCATTTCACCAATTTACATTGATTGCATTCAACTGATTTATGTTTCCTTCATCATATGTGTTTAGCCAAATGTCAAAAAATAAAATAATAATAAATAATATACACGAAGAAAAAGGATCACTATGCCCCTATCGAAAGGACGACATTTTCTCCTGATGATGTCATTATTATTAGGAAAGGCTTTTACCATCCCCCTCGTAGTTTTAGGCTCAGGAGAGAATGTCATACCTTCTTCCCTCGGCGCGTAATATACTAGTTTTGCTCATGTCTGTAGTCGTTGTAAGTATCAAATACATTAAGTAATATGTTGATCTTAAAAAAAAAATGTTCATTGGCTTTTCACGACCGTAATCGGTACGAAATACGGATACGAATCACTTGCACTTTCTGAATACCAAAGTAGCAAGTCATCCACAGCCTACTACAACTCACAATATCAGCTGTTAATATGTTGCGTACTTACGATTAGATTGGTGCTCTTTTATTATGTGGGTGTAGAGTAACCGTATATGGTCGTGTTTACATACAAAACGATTTGCGACATATAGTCCAGTCAGATGGTTTAATAAATGCACACTTGATCATGTCTATTTCAGTAACACATTCAGCAACAGTACTTGTTGCATTGTACGATAATCTACGTTATTTTTAATTATTTCCCACGTTTTTACAGCCTTCAATTACGTACAATGTAATTTTTCTTTTCTACGGGAGTTCCAAAACCTGTCAGTGGTTAATATTCTTTTTACATGTTCCGTATTATGTTTTGTCTAAATGCAAATAGTATACAAAAATAATTTGAACAATGAAAACTTCAATAAGTGGAAAACTTACTTATGAGAGCAGCAACAATTTTTCCCCATTAAGTTGGGGTAGTATGTAGATGATAAAAAGTTAATTTCAGTTTAATGTTTAATATTAAATATTAACTTCTTCAAGAACATTTTCGTTTTATTTACTATCTCCAGTGGCATTATGACATTATTACGTTTTGATACAAGCATATGATTTTCTATGCTTAAATATCAATGATCATAAAGCAAGTACTGAACGGTAGTTAATAGATTCAAAATGCTCAAAGATGTCATTAAACTGTAATATTCTTAAAACCGGAAGGCTAAAGAAATAGAAATAGTTTAGATCAAGGCTGTCCATGACTAAGGCCTTTGACGCTTCAACATTAACCATTCAGCCGCCGATCATACATCGTGAAGCACCGAAGATGTCGTCTATGAAGCATGACGAAACGTCTGCAATCAGAATTTGAACACAGCANCTCTATCCGCGATATCCTCATCATTCGCCTATAACACCACATTTCGAACGCTTCTAACCTTTTCTTTTCCGCCGTGCCCACCGTCCATGTTTCGCGCCCGTACAGAGCCGCGCTCCAAACAGACAACTTTAGCAATCTTTTTCGAAATTCTAAATTAATATTTCGCAAGCATAGAGGTGACTTCTTTTTATCGAAGGTGACTCGTCCCTGCGCTATCCTCTGCTTTATATCTCTACTACTACTCCTTCTGTTCTGACTTATCTGACTTCCTAGATACTTAAAATCAGCCACTTTCTAATCTTTCGTCTCCTATTTTTATATTCGCTCTTTCCCTACTTTTTCTTCCTTTGCATGCCAGTATTTTTGTTTTACATATATTTATTTTCATATAATAATGTTTTGTCAGTATCGCTTCCATTTTATTTAAAGCTATCTCTAACTCTTTCTTGTTAGGTGCTAATACTGCTATATCATCTGCAAATCTGAGCATATTATTCTTTTGCCCCTCTATACCTATCCCTACAGTTGTATTGTCTTTAATGATGTTGATCGCATGTTCGACGTATAGATTAAAAAGTAGCGCTGACAGAATTTTTTTACAGAGGCGTATTTACGTCAAATAATGCATTCTAGCATATTAATATACATCTTTTTTAACTAATTGCATAGATATAGTAATTGGGTATTAATACATATTACAAGTTCTTGTGTTTCTATCTATTAATTCAATAAAAAAATTATTTGTATGAAGTTAATATATATAGTTTGTGTTAATATTTATCCTTCCTCGCTATTTCTCTTTCTAATTGTAAGATATCTGTTTCTTTTGCTTTAATTTTTACGCATAAATCAAATCGTGTATTGGCGAAAATTATAATTTTATTATTCCAAGTTTCCTTAATTTAAAATTTAAATTACTTCGAATAATGCCTTAGAGCTAATAAATACGATAAATTTTTCTATTTGGGATTAATAAGTACTTGGCGCCTCAAAGTCACAGTGCCTACGCATAGTAAAGCCCACATAGTCCTTTGTGTTTTTCTTCCCCAAGTAGATATACTTATGTAAGTATTATTTCTTGCGGTTAGTAGCTGGACTTAAACCCAAACAACCAACTTTTCTTGCAATTGAAAAACTAATAAATGTTACTTTTAACTGCTTTTTGTGCTTGTACTCAACCTACGTCTATTCCAACAAATTATTATACTTCACATGTTTTCTTACTATGGTATCGATCGGTATTGATTTACACATAAATTGATAAATGCTCTTGAATATTGTATTTTAACCTACAGCTTTTTAGAAATAAAGAAAGCTCAATTAATTTGCATATTATTTCAACATGCAGATAGAGACGATTAAAATGTAATTAAAATTGATGAATACTATTTTAATATCAATTCAACTTTACTGGCCTACCCAAAGGAACAAAGTAGAAGAATTGACAAGACCCATATTTTTGTCTCATCCTCAACGAATGATACAAAGAAAAAAACATACTTAATAATTGAACATATTTTTCTCTAATACATTTCTTAGTCAGTATCTCCTACGGTATACTGCATCGTTACATTTTTTCCGAAATCTGGTCAGATTATATCAAAGAGAAGAAAGAAACACTAGCAGAAGATGCCTTTTGATTATAGTGTTTATGCTCTTGCATGTTCCTTATCATTTAAAATAAACTGTAGGGCATAGAGTTGTTAAAAACGTCTGTTTGTTATATCTCCTTCTGTCTGTCAATATACATAAAAAGAGACCTTGGGTTCTGTCATGGTCAACATACACGTAACGATGCCCCTGATAAATATTTAATGGTTGTTATATCTTTGAGTAGTTTCCTTAACGCGTCGGTGTTTCAACAGTAGTTTCGGAGACTCCAACGTTACATCAAGCGACGAACCCTCTATATTTATTTTGATGGTAGCAAATTGTAGGTATCCAGAGTTTCATTACGTTTGTTTTCGTAAGCCTGGTCGGATCATATCAACGAAAAGAAAGAAGCATTCACACACTTTTGAGTATATTGCTTATTCTCCCGCCTGGTTCTTATCCTTTACAATAAATTTTAGAGCACAAGTTTATTTAAAAGATTCAGTTTACGCTATCGTCTGTTTATCAAACTAAAATTAATTCTATAGTACAACTGTAGGGATAGGTATACAGGGGCAAAATATTAGTATGTTTAGATTTGCAGATGATATAACAGTATCAGTATCTAGTAAAGAGGAGTTAGAGTTCTAAATAAAATGGAAGCGGTATTGACAAAACAGTATTGTATGAAAATAAATAAAAGTAAAACAAAAATACTGGTATGCAAGGGAAGGAAAAGTAGGGGAAAGAGCGAATATAAAGATAGGAGACGAAAGATTAGAAGAAGTGGCTGATTTTAGGTATCTAGGAAGTCAGATAAGTCAGGACGGAAGGAGTAGTAGGGATATAAAGCAGAGGATAGCGCAGGGTCGTGTCGCCTTTAATAAAAAGAAGTCACTTCTATGCTCGCGAACGGTTAATTTAGAAATTCGAAAAAGGTTGTTAAAGGTGTATGTTTGGAGCACGGCGTTGTACGGGTGCGAAACATGGACAGTGGGAGCGGCGGAAAAGAAAAGGTTAGAAGCGTTCGAAATGTGGTGTTATAGGCGGATGATGAGGATATCGTGGGTAGAAAAGGTTAGAAATGAAGAGGTATTGGAAAGAATAGGAGAACAGAGGACTCTATGGAAGTCAATAAAAAATAGGCGAGATAGGTTGGTAGGACACCTTCTCAGACATGAAGGTCTAGTCAGAGACATATTAGAGGCAGAAACAGACGTTAAGAGGGGTAAAGGTAGACCTAGATTAGATTACTGTTCGCAAATAGTTAAGGATGTGGGTTGTTCTAGATTAAGGGAAATGCGAAGATTAGCTCAGAATAGGAAATAGTGGAGGTGCGTATCCAACTAGTTGTGAGCCCTGGATTCTGTCATATTTACGATACATGAAAAAACGCCCTTGGATAGGCAACACTAGAAATATTCCAAAAATGCTTGTCACCAAAGATCCTCAAATGCTTATTTTTTTTTTCAGGTGGTGTTAGCATCATTTGGATCAGTATTGACGAATCAAGACCAATATCATATCCAAACAGACGAAGGACCCGAAAGATATTTCCGATATATGACCCTAAGTGGTCAATATCGTAAAGAGAAACGCCTTGAAGATGGAACAGTGGTAGGCTCATATGGTTGGGTAGATGACGATGGTATGTTTCGACTGAAAGATTACATAGCAGATAACGATGGCTATAGAATTATTAGAACTAAAAACATATATGTGGGTAGAAAAACGCCAGTACGTGTTGCACTGAAAACTGCCAAAAATGCTCCAGCAGGTTCTGGATACATTCCAAACATCAAAAAGTACAGCAGTGGTGTTACGCCCAACTCAATAGATTATCAACCTTTGTCAGCCACCACGTCCTACTTACCACCTTCACCTCACTACAAATCAAGCTCGCCGGACTATTCCACCTTTTACAATCCACCCAGTACCACCTACTTACCATCGCTCCCAAACGAAGTGGATTCTCATATCGGAAGCAGTTCAGTAACCAGTACAAACATTCAACCAGCTCCAGACGCAACAAAATATCAAACCAACGACTTACATCGAATAAATTATTTTAATTCAGTATCGAAAATCCCAAATGTTCAAATACTGCCAAACTCCGGTCCGCCACCTTCTTCAGTAGTTCCTCTAGTTCCTTCTTCGACAATCGAACCTCCTGTTCTTATCTCAGGATCGTCGTCCATATCATCAACTTCGATACCAAGTACCACTGCTTCACCTATTCAATATTCTTCCTCAACTACGTCCACAACAACAATATCATCATCCCAAAACACCACGCAAATTTCTCCACTACTGGTAGCAACTCAAACTAGTAGATCTTTCACTCAAAATAACGAGACATTCGTGGAATATACGTCAACCCCCTCGCCGATCTTTACAACTTATTTACAATCAACGCAATCACCTCCAACGGCATATGAAACGTCACCCACTGTGGTCTCACCAATTATACGAAACGAAATTGAAACGAGTGACTACAGCAGTTATCCTCAGTACGAACATTACGACGAACGATCCGACAACCCTTACATACACAGTAACGGTCCCACTTACCCCATCGATCAAAATGGACGAATTTTTACCGGGAGAACGAGTAACGAGAATCATAATTCTCACCCTGCTAACATACCCATAACAAACGATGGTTTTCGATATTATTTACCGAAAGCGTACCACGAAGAACAGAGTTTACCGGATGATACAAAAATGGGAAGCTTTGGCTACGTAGATCCTTTCGGAATAGAGAGAGTTATTTATTACAAAGCCGATCCCGCAAATGGATTTTTACATAAGAAAAGGAATCGGTACCTTGGGGTTCACGCGACTCCATACAACAGCCAAAACCTGTCGTAGCAGAAGAGAAAACAGAAAAGTATTTTCCAATATAGTTACTAAACTAAGCATGTGATTAAAATAAACTTGCCTGTTGTACTTAATATATAATTATGTGATTTTTCAAACGAGTGATTGTAGTTGCGTGTTCTGTTTGCATATCACTTATAATGCAACAAAAACTGACGGGTTTATACGCATGGGATCATGTTAAGTACTTATAATCAGGCGTATTGTTTCCAGATACTAGATTTGTAGCATTTAATTGCTCGGTATTATAGCGAAAGTGGAAACGTATTTTTAAGAAATCAACAACTAACTCGACTAAAACCACTTTCATCATTTTTTTACCAAACAACTGTAAACATTAACGTGTTACTGCCTAATGATCGCACCTAGATAATGAACTAAATCTTTTTTATAAAGAGAATTGTACTCTTTACATTATTAAACTAACTACAAATCTAGTTTTAGGTGTAGAAGTAGGTAATATTTTTATTTATTAACTTGTACATTGTTATTAGATTACGTACGTCTTTTGAATGTGCCATAATAAGATTCTGTGGATTACTTCTCTCGTAGTAGTTAATATTTGTATTGAAGGAAAAAAGTTGTGAACTTTTTGCTTCAATTTCGAATATGAGTTTCATCAGTAAAATCAATATATACGTAAAATGCGATTAAAAATCGATGTATGTGTTATTTTCACAAAATTACACATACATTGAAAAAAAATTACAATAGTATTTTAATATTTATAAGTGTAATTTATCATATTTATAAGAGTCTAATCCCAGAACCTTAAACAATAGACTTGCTAGAAAACTGTGTTAAAAAGAGCACTGCTTCGGCCACAAATAAAGGATATGTTAACTGTTGATTTTGTTTTTGTTTTCATCCTGCTTTATATGAACTTTTTGTTGATGTCCTTGCTATACAGATAAGGTAAAACGTTCACCGTACATACGAATTGTTCATTTCTCTATCGGCATTTCTTTATGTCGAACGGGAGTACGTGTGAAATGTTTTTTCAACCACGTCTATCTGAAAATATCTCCTACTCTTCTGAAATCTACCCTAAAGTGACTGAACTCTCAAAATATTTTGGAGAAAGCGAAACAATAATACGCTTCAAATTACATTTATTCGGATTCGAAAATAACTAAAGGTTTATACGAATTTTCCTGTACGTCGAATTTTTCAAATGTAACAGAATTTCCCCATGTTCAGTTCGCAACTCACCACTAATGTATATACTGCTATGACTTATTACAGATTCGTCAAATTGTTTATATTTATATCACTTTTGTTATAACAAATAGCCAAAATGATAACGATTATTTCAGTGAATGATTTTTTAAATAAATTTTTGGACAACTGTTTCGCTTAATTTGTTAGTAATTAATTCACTGAAAACAGAAAAAAATATACTCATAATAAATTAAACTCAATTATAAAACTTTGATCCGTATCTCACTCGCCACTTCTAAAGCTTTTCATAAAACATTGTAATTTAGGAATTCCCCTATTGTTTAAAAACAAAGTTACTGTTATTGATAATTTTGGGATAACGTTAACAATTTTAAGAGTGAAAATCAAAATCTGTTATTAGCATTAAATGCTAGACAGACCTCTTTACTTTTCCTCAATATTGTCATATTTTTATAATAACTTTTTAAGAAATTGGAAATTTAAGAGCGCATCTTTTGTGCCATTTTATATATATTTATTGATGTCTATGAGAATTCAAAATCTGATTCCACAACTAATTTTTACATGTTTCTTTTTGTTTTCTCCATTTATTCATGTTTATGACGAAAACTGAAAATTTACAAACGTATTTCATATTGTTTTTTTAATTAAGTGTTAATATTTATTTATTATATCTGTCCAGATTAAACATTATTTATTAATTACTACCATGCATGCTACTAAAGATATTTCGCTACATACTCTAAGCCTCTAACTAACACTTTTCAAAATAATCGTTTACTGCTTTACAATTTTACGAACGACTTTGTAGTTTTAAATTTAATTTTTTCCCGCATCTTGGTTAGTTGTGTTTTCTATTAATATATAGCGCCACATGAGACATAAAATGTCAAAAATTTGTAAGGTTCTGTTTTTGTTCCACATTGACATTTGTGACATTATGGTGTGAATATTGAAGGTTGTGACTAATAAAAAAACCAAAATCTTTAATTATCCGGAAGAAATTGCAACTGCTACTTAATGAATTTCCTTTGCCGTTATAATTATTACTACTTTTGTAGCATTTTAAGTAAAATACACCCAACAGCAATGAACTACTGTATATGATAAGTAACGTTGATTACTAATCCTTATAAGACGAATATTGTAGGGCGTTTACAATTATGTCTCAACGTAATAAATATGAAAATAAAAATAGTGGATTACTTACAAAAGAAGAAAATGAACAAGTATTTGGGCTACTTGGAAACCGCTGTCAGGTATATCCTACAATTTAATTATACAAATCAACTATGAATTTCTTAATTAACCATAGTATGATTTTAGTCTTTGGCAACAACTGTTATTCAACTTTTTCTTACTCAACCACCGCACCACATGCAGTGGATTAAAAGGGACACAGGAGTTTTATGCTTCGTTAGGGACAATGTGAGAAAAAACTTCTTTTTTAGATTATACTGCTTAAGGCGAAATAATATGGTGTGGGAACAAGAAATGTATGATAATATGGAATATATAGCAGCATGTCCATTTTTTCATACATTTGAGGGTGAGGTAAGTAAACAAAATTTAGTAGTTTCTACTTTAGATAAAGTATATACGCATTAATTTTACTTTCAATTATTTCTGTTTCATATAGGAATGCATTGTAGCATTTAATTTTGCTAATACATTAGAAGCTAAAGAATTAAAAGGTATTGTAGAAACAAGAATTCAAACAAAAAGGAAAAAGCTAGAAGGTAACAGTGTATTTTACTATGGTTATATACCATGATTTTGATATGTAACTTTATTGTAGAGAAAAGATTAAAGAATTTCATGCAGGACAATAGTGATCAACCAAGATTGCCAACAAGCAATGATTTATCATTTTACAAAAAAACTGTTGATCCTGGTAAATATCTCTTTCATTTAATTAAATACTATCAACTTAAATATTTTATGTATAGCTGAAAGAAAAGCAAAACGAAGAAGAAATATTACCAAGGCTGATATTGGTAATCCATCTGAGTTTCGGCATATTTCACATGTTGGGTGGGACCCAGATAAAGGGTTTGACATTACGGGTAATGACCCACATTTAACTGAATTCTTTCGAAAGGTACACTTAAAATTAATTACTTTTAAAAATTTTCTAAGTAACAATTAATCAAAAAACTTCTTAGGCTGGTGTCTCAGAAGAACACCTCAAGGATAAGAATACACGTGAATTTATTTATGATTTTATAAATCAAAACAGAGCTGCATATCAAGAGGAAGTTAGTTCTGTTCCTCCTGTGCCTGCTCCATCCACGGGACCGCCTGTTCCCCCACGAACTGCACCAAGAACTCCCCACAGTGTAAGTAATAAAGCTCTTTATTTTTCATGCACATGTATATATAAAAAGCAACAAAAATAGTTTCATAGTTTCTATTCATTCATTTTTATTTAATAGAGGGTTGCACCACCCCCACCTCCTCCTGCTCAGCAACAACTCAAACCTCCTATGGTAGTAAGAAATAATAATTCACAAGGTAATGCTCTACATTAAAACATATTCATTAAATAGTATACTTTTAAAAGAGACCATTAATTTCTTCTATTTTTCAGATACTTCATTGCCTTGTCCACCAAACATAACAGCTCCAGCACCACCACCGCCCCCGCCCCCACCTCCTCCCATGAACATTGAAGTTATTTCTCCACCACCTCCTCCTATGCCTACCAATAATGCAGCACCCGCTCCTCCACCTACACCCGCACCCCCACCTGCACCCGTACTACCTCCTGTACCTGCTGCACCAGATTCTCATGCAGCCCTTTTGGCCAGCATACGAGAAGGCACAACGTTAAAGGTATTTTTTTGTTGTTGTATATTTGCAATTTTAATTGTTTTCCTACATTAAAACTGAATATGGTACCTATTAAAATCAGCATAAAAAAATATATAAAATGTTAATCTTTGTCCTTACTGCTTTTGAAGATTAAGGACCATAATTAAAAAACACTGTTTATTTTAATACTTTGAATTGAAGAGGACTTTTAAGACCGCAACATGGAGTGGCTAAATACATGACTGAAATGGGACCTAAATTTCAATGAAGACCTATATGCTAACGACTTTTTTATTTGAAGTGGCAAGCTTTTAGGAGCATATGCATTCTGTTTTTGTAATTCACGATTTTATCGCTCATTTTCTTTCTACAGGCAAATATCGCTAGTCTCCATTTCTAAAAGAAAAAAGATTATTTCCTTCTATATGAAGCAATTACTTTATGTAGTTGGTGACCCTGTTTATGGCTTCGCCTGTTGAGTCCCATTTGTTAGATATAATATAAACTACATTTAAACTGTTAGTTTTATATAATCTGAAGCTTTATCTTGATACATATAAATTCAAAATTTCCCAAATAAGGAACGTTTATATTGTACCTATAACACCTAATTTGTTAATTGCAGTCTGTGGAGCTAAGGAAAGAAGTTGAAGAGGACAGCTCAGCTCGAGATGCAAGAGGTGACTTGATGCACGAAATAAGAAAAGGCTTCCAGTTAAAACCAGCATCTGTAAGTTTAAAATAATTCCTTTATACATTTTCATAAGTTTACATATAACAGCATACAAATAATATTAAATCTTCTTTTAGGAACGAGAGATCAAGGCTGCACCTTCAGTATCACAGGAGCAGCCTTCAGGTGATTTGGCTAGTGCACTTGCAAGAGCATTAGCTGCTCGTAGCAAAGTCATTCACTCTGAGGATGAGAGCACCTCTGATACCGATTCGAATTATGATGAATGGGATGATTAAAGAAATATATTTATTTTTAATAAAAAACAGTGTTTTATTATTCTATTATTTAAACAAATACATTATTTATTTATTATATTGCTTTCATAACTTGTTTATTCGTTTCTTTTAGTCTCTGTGAAAATTTACGTTCATAAAAAACGACCCAACATTTTCCAATTAAATTCATTATGTCCTCTACAGGGTGTTGTGAATACAAATAAATATGAAATTAAACAGCTTCTTTTATAAGATTTCTTTAACGTTAACAATAACGCAAAATTTAAAAAAACTAACATTGATTTAAGTAATTTTTTTCTGATTTAGTGTACAAAAATATACTGAATATACATATGAATGGAATATAAGCACACATCTGTGAAACGATTAAGCACACGTCAGTGAAATTGTGAAATGATTTCAGAAAAAATTCTTGTAAAAAAGAAATGTACTTCTTAGAAACAAATGTTATCGTTCATTGAAAGTGTTGCAGTATTGTTAATAAAAATTGTGACGCAAACAAAAATACAAAAAGAAAAGCTAATAACAGATAAAAGAAATACATGGCGTGTATGAATTGTATTACGTGCTATTATCTGTAATTATAGCCTCTATCATCTGTTATAAATTTAAATAGAACTTTAGTTCAAGTCATCTCGAATGGATGCCGCAAGTGCAATAGCTTTTGCAAAATTCTATTTATTTTTTCCATTAGGAGAAAAAACCATCGGTTTTGTCCCCTTTTGTCTTGGATATTAATGCATTTTTGCACGTAATAACCGATCAGGGAGTATGAGGGTTATTTACCGGGTGCGAAACCTCCAATACTAAAATAACATTTCTTCATCTAGTATCATCAAAATGTTTTAATTTCTGGATTTAATAGTTCTTAAGGGCCGATTTCAGTAATTAACGAATCAAAGTTGAGAGCATTTTCATTGTTTCAAAGGTTGATGATTATCTGGGTGATTGTGGTTTACTTTTAATATTTTTTAAATCAAAAAGGCTCCTTTTGTCATTAAGATTAGTCTACCTTATTTCGAGCGTCATTGTCTGTCTTTTATTTTCCGAATACTTGCTCTCTTTAACAATGGTCTGCTTGAACGGTCGACTGAGAGAAGAAGACATTTCACTAATTTTAATATAAATAGCAATTATAAATTTGTTTTAAAGAGCAATCCCTAATCTTTGTATAAATTAAACTTTTTGGAACTTGTATTACAAGGAGAATATGTTTGCTTCTTCATTCCATAAAATGAGGGTTCTAATTTCTGAAAATAACGCCTCAAACAAAACTAAAAGCCCTTCCATTGCTTTTAAGCTACATGATCATCGAGGTGATTGTGGACTACTTTTAAATTGTTTTTTAATAAGAAAAGACCCTTTTGTCCCTAAGAATAGTGGACCTTATTTCGATCATAATTATGTATCTTTTAATATCCGAATACATGCCCTTTTTAACAGTTGTAAACTATAATTAAAATTTTGTCTTGAATATTAATGCATTTTTGTACGTAATAACCTATGAGATAGTTTGTCATGGGCTCTTAGGGTTATTTATCGGATGCGAAACCCTGCAATGCTATTTTATTATTTTTCAAAGGAATTTATTCTTCTCCCACCATAATTTTTGGTATTCTAACGCCTCGAGCAATTTTAAGATTAGATTATGTCGATTAAATAGTTTGTCAGGGGTGCTAAGGGTTATTTACGGGGTGCGAAAACCTCGAATACTAAAATAACATTTCTTCATCTTGTATTACATGAAAAATGTTTTAATTTCTGTATTTAATAGTTTTTAAGGGCCAATTTCGGTAATTAACGAGTCAAAGTTATCGGAGTGGTTGTGGTTTACTTTTAATATTTTTTAAATAAAAAAGACTTTGTTATTAAGATTAGTCTACTTTATTTCGAGCGTCATTGTCTGTCTTTTGTTTTCCGAATGCTTGCTCTCTTTAACAATGGTCTACTTGAACGGTCGACCGAGAGAAGAAGACATTTCCCTAATTTTAATATAAATAGCAATTATAAATTTGTTTTAAAGAGTATAAGAGCCTGATATATCTTCTTTGAACTTGTATTACAAGGAGACTGTGTTTACTTCTTCATTCCATAAAATGAGGGTTCTAATTTCTAAAAAAAACGGCTCAAACAAAGCTGAAAGCCCTTCTATTGCTTTTAAACTACACGATCAGTGAGGTGATAGTGGACTACTTTTAAATTTGTTTTTAATAAGAAAGATTTGACGACCCGCATTTTATATTTCAAAATTTTAACTAATAATCATTGAAAATAATGAATC